GGACATTCCATTCATGAGTCTCTGTAAAGAAACAGGGAGAACTAGGTGTTGTGGTCCAGGCCTTTAATCACAGCACTTGAGAGGCAGAGACAGATCTCTGAGCTCAAGGCCAGTCTCATCTAAGAATGGAGTTCCAGGACATGCATTACAGAGAGAAACTTGTCTTGAATGTCTTGAAACAACAATAATAACAAAAACAAAAAACACAACAAAACAAACAAACAAAAACAAAGAAAGACACACGAAAGGAAGGAAAGAAAGGAAGAAAAGAAAGAAGGAAAATAGGAAGGAAGGACGAAAGAAAGAAAGAGGGAAAAATATCCCAAGTCTAATCTATTTTCCCAGCCAGCTCACATTTACTGAAGGTGTTGAAGTGAACTTTATTAAGCTGAATTATTTTATAAACATACATGGATATATGAGCATATGATTACAAACACAGTTCGTGTTTGGCTAAAAAAAATAATTTAATTGACTTGTTTTGAGGCACTTATCATTGATCGCTGAATATAAAATATTTCTCTTTGGTAGCATTATATTTTGTAACTTTAATGAAATAATCTTTTAAACTAAAGCTTTGATGGACTATCCTTGAAACAAAATTACAGTCTGATAGTCTTAGATGTAGTCCCATCCTTCCTCAGGGCCCCCCAAAAGCTACGTGGTTCAGAGCCAGTCCTGACCTAGTAAAGAAAAAAAAAAAAAAATTGATAGCCCAAGATAAATTGGGTCTAAACCTGAAATTTCCCAAACTGGCTTTAGAGAGTATTAAGCACAGGTGTGTTTTTATTTCTTGTCAGAGAACTTCAGTATATGGAACTATACCAATGTTTGTTTGTTTGTTTTCACTGAAATAATATTGGTTTTCATTGTATACACCAATCTAGTCTAGACCTCTGCACCTCAGCTTCAGCTCTGAGTACTGAATGACAGAGGTGTGTTACCATGCCTGGTGCTTTTGCTTATTTACAATATTATATCGCATGTGTGGTTTACACAGAAATACTTTTATATCCCTCAGGGGTGGCAACCCTTTAATTCATATCAATTCTTCTGCCTCAGTCTTCCTGGGTTAACAGTGTATTAAGTTCTCAAGTCCTTGGTCTCAGTTATACTCAAGTGCACTAAGCATCCACCCACCAGAGTTTTGTTTCTGGCAAAACTGTAATGCCAGCTCAAGGAAGCATAGTAGGAGTGTGAGGCCCGCCTAGTTTACTAGCAAGTTCCAGGCCAGTGAGAGCTGCAAGGTGAGACTTATCTAAAAAATAACAACAAAACAACAGGTAGCATTTTGTTATGAAGCCCAGGCTTGCAAAGTGATCCCTGGCACCACATTATTCCTAATTGAAGGTAGCAGTCTACATGGTAAATTCCAGTCTAGTTGAGACAGATCCTGTCTCAAAATCTCCCCAATTTGGGGAAAACAAAACACCCCTTCTCCAACCAAACAAAGGATCAAAACCAGACATGGAGATTCACACCTTGTAATACCAGTACTTGGGAGATGAGGGTAGGTGGCACATAATGAGTTTTAAGCCAATTAGATCTACAGAGGATTTTCCTTGTACACCTGGGATAGATTAACAACCTGCCTCAGAAAAGCAAGAAAAAATTCACCCACCCCCAACCAAGCTGAGCTACATTCCTACCTCTATTCCATTGTCTTTTGGATTTTTCCCTAAGTAGTCTCTCATTGTGCTTTTCACTTGCATTTCCATAATGACTGACAACAGTATCTATTCATATGTTTATTTAATTGTAAATTTTTAAATCTTATGTTGTGAGAAATGTCCATTTAAATACTTCCCCACTTAAAAAACATGGATATTTTGAATTTAGTGAATATTCTGAATATTATGCCTTAGTTTTTTTGTTTAGCACATGATTTCTTCCTTTGAAACAAAACCTCTTAAATAATGGAATATAACTTACATATTATTTTTTTGTTTTCTTTATTTAGCATATATAATAATCTTAAGTTACTAGAACTGTATTCTGATTTTCTTCTGAGTTATTCATATTTTAAATTCTGTAAGTATTTTCCATTTTGGTTTTTATATTTAATGTAGTGTAGGAGTCTTGATCAGATGCGTAACTTCTCTGTTGTCAATATGATTAAAAGTAATTTTTGTGCCAGAGTTTGTATCTTAAAAGATAATCCATATGACAGTTTTCCTTGAGTGTTAAGTGTTTATGTTGGAAATAATTAAATAATTGGAGATAAATTAGAATCTGGCAATCTATTTAGATAAAATTTACTGACAAAATCTTGCTGCATTTTCCTTACTTTTATATTAAAGAATATGTTAACTTAGACTTATGATTAATATGTTATTATCTTTAAGGAGATGAGTGAGTCAAAGAGCATGATTTTTTTAATGCTGTTTGTAAGGCCTTTTCTGGAATCTAAAAATCCTCCTTTTTTTATTTTCTTCATAAAATAAAGGCCCACCTTGAACTCCATTCTGATCCTTCTCCTTCCATCTCTATCATAGCAGGCTCAAAAGTTCACCTTTTCGTATGTTAAAACAAATAGGAGATTGTAAGAAGTGAAATTAGATTTTGAAAAGACCAGTTCAAAGGATCAAAAACTACACAATGCACAGTAACATTAAAATTAAATATACCCTAATTCTTATATTGTAATTATTGAGGCAGTTTGTGATTATGGAGAAACCATAAAAAGATATTGTACAAAATTAAAAAAAAAAAAACAATATTCAAATTGCATGGAAAATCCAAGAAATATGATTAGTGATTATTCAATCTAATGTGGTATGTTGTATGGAGTTAAAAGAAAAATAACAACAAATATGTATACAGCATTGCTTTCAGATAAGTTTCAGCTAAAACACTTTATAGTGCTAATGGTCTACGATAGAGTAGGGTAGAATCTCATGATAGAGTTGGGTTGGGAATGTAGCTCAACTCATTGTGTGCGTGGGTTGTTGTTGCTTTGTGAAGCAGATTTTTAATCTATTCCAGGTGTACATGGAAAATCCTCTGTAACTCTTAACTGGCTTAAGACTCAGTACCTGCTATTTATCCTAGTCTCCAAGTATTGACATTATAGGTGTGGAATTGCATGCCTGGTTTTTTAAGTTGTTTTGGTGTTTTTTTTATTTATGATTAACAAAAGTTTATGTTAGGTCATATAATATTCATATCATTGTATGAATATCGTTCTCTTCTCACTTAAGCAAAATCAATAGGCAAAACAGTTTGTAAAATTTTAAGAACCCTTCCCAAACTTCTGGATCGGTCAAATATCAGATATATTTTAAGTCAAGAGCAACTAAATTCAAAGGCATGAATTTTAACACTATATATATATATATATATATATATATATATATATATATACACAGTGTTAAACTATATATATAGTTTCTTAATTATATGTGAGTATATAAACACATCCTCATGGCATATATTTGTAGTTTCTTTAACACTATATTTTTCAATTTATTCCTATACAACATACACATATTTAAAAATTAATAAAAACTGTAATTTTACTTTAAAAAAATTGAATAGGAAAGTGGAAGTGTTTTGATAACCTGTGGCCTCATTCTTGGTAGGCAAATGATTTTCATATCCACTTCTAAGTATTGACAATTTTGAATTACTCAACCTAGTAGGTTATTGTTTGTATCAGAAATATTTAATTTTCTTGTTTATATGTAAATAAACTCCATCACCTGTTTTCAAAAGTTATTTAAAAAGTTATTAGTTAAACTTGAAATTGACTGTGTCTTCATTCACGTTGAATACAGGATGTTTGGGAACTGAACTGTAGCTCAATAGGAAAAAAGACAGGGAGAGAACATCACCTCCTTAATACCCATTACAATACCTCATCAACAGTTCTTGGAGGTAGTCAACAAGGAACTGTAAGTTATGTTAAACTTTATGTAAATGTAGCTTCCTTAGTTTTCTGTAGGAATACCTGCATATTGGAGCCAACAGCACAACAATGCATTTACATGGGCAGGCAGGAAATTCATAGGTCAAAAATTTCAGAAACATAAGCATGTGTATGTATCCACAATACATACATAAAAAAATAATACTTTTTTGAGACAGTGTGATACAATGAACCCAAGATGGCCTTGAGTATGCAAAAAAAATCCTAGAGCTGGAATTATAGGACTGCATCATCACAATGGGGCTGCGGTCATATATATTCGTCAGTAAGTACTGTTTTTCCCCAGCTATTATTTATTTTTGGAAATACTTTAAATATGTCAAAATTTAGTAGGCAGAGATATTTCTTTTTGACTTTTACATGGAGTCTTCTCTTTAAAGCTGTTAGAGCTGGATAAGGGTGGAGTACCCTTTAATCCCAGCATTCAGGTAAGCAGATCTCTGAGTTCCTGGCCAGCCTGGTCAACAGAGCAAGTTCCAAACAACAATAACAACATCAACAAAGAATTAAAAACTGAATGCTCTTTCTGTTAAAATATGATTTCATTGTGATTTGGAAGAAATATTTTCTTCCCCAGTCATATACAAAATAAAGAAAATACAAATATAATCACATTTTAAAAAGTATAGAATTAATAGACATGATAATTTTATTCTGTACATAATTACATACATCTGACGATTTGAATGGGCCTCAGGTTTGATAATTATTTTTCTATATCATTTAAATTGTGACTCACTATGTAGCACATTATAGTCTAAAAAATTACAATCTTTTGTATATTGGTGATCAAACCGTTTTCTTTTTCATCAAAATCATGCTCTTTTGACCAGTGATGCTTGCCAGCACTAGGAAATGAAATTCTAACTGTATTTAAATATATGTGACTGTGTCCATCAGCCCAGGTTGACAGCTATTTTATGAAAATACTTGCTCAAATTGCAATAGTAGGAATGCTCCGGACACATAGCCTGCTCTTTTGGGTCATTGCGGTCAGAGACGGTGGGACCCCTGCATTGCGGCAAAAAATGTGCGCATGTGCGGCCGTTGGCTGGGACGCATGCGTAAGGAGCAGCACGATAAACCCGAGCCACTGCGGCACGTCTGGCGCAGAAAGGAGAGGAAGCTGGAGATGTCTGACGCTTGGTTCTGAGGAGCGATTTGCAACGCGATGGAGCGAGCAAGGTCAGCTGGGCCAGTGGTTTCTAGTACTGAAGGTGTGCGCTTTTTGACACAAACATTCTGGATTTCGAGACCTTGAGGTTTCGGATAACCCGGAAACCTTTATTTTTAAAATCAGAGCGCCATCCTTGGGAGCCATCAGACTTCTTGGGTGGGTCTAGTGCGGCATCTGCGCCATAAGCCACTGCGGGTGATTTGGTGGTGGTCTGAGTAGGTGACTGTGGGCTCCGGGATGACAGAGCTGTTTTGCCGCGGACGTGGAGCTGTGTTGCCTTGGACTGTGGTCTCCCCGCGTTGGAACTGTGTTGGTGTGGCCCATAGCCTCCGGGGATGACCGAGCTGTGTTGCCGCGGCCCATAGCCTCCGGGGATGACGGAGCCTATGGGCTCCGGGAGGTGGGAGCTGCGTTGCTGCCACCTGTGGGCTCCGGAATGACGGAGTTGTGTTGCCATGGCCTGATCGCTCCAGATGACGGAGCTGTGTTGTGGTCATCGTGGCCGCGAGTTGCGCGGCTCTGGGGAAAGGTGAGCATGGTCTGCGGCCAATGGTTGGTTTGCTATAGGGAACCTTTGCGACCGCTTCAGGATGCATGTGGCTTTGCGGCAAGAAGATACTCGCAACTAAGAAGTGATGTGGTTAGGTTCTGGTTGGTTTGGAGCCTTGGTAATCGGGGTTTGTGAATTAGCCCTTAACAGGGCTCTGCCTGGGTGGGGCCTCTTGAGGGTCGGCAGAGGTGGATCTGCAAAATCTACCATTAGAGGGGAGGGGTAAGAAGAAATCTGTGTGGGCTGGCCTAAGCTCAGTCTAAATACTTTTTTCTTGCGATCTTCTCTTGTAATTAGGTTGTATATTGTGCTTATGTTGTTTCCTTTTGTAGATTTGGGCCCTGCTGAAAGCCGCAATGTTCCATTTTGTTTATTTTGTCACTGTCAACCATCCCTCAACTGCAGTGGTTAATGAATGAAATGTATGAAAAACTTGCTTTACCCACTCACTGCATTGTAGAGGTAACAAGACAATGTCTTTTAGTTTTATTAGTTTTTCTTGGGTTCAGAATTTAATCTTTAGTCGTTTTGGTATTCTCAAGGGGTCGTGTCCTATGTTAGACGCCATTGTGATGTTCCCCAAAGATGGCCGCTGCTGCAGAGGCGCTGATGTGCGCAGGCGCAGCAGGGTGGTATATGGGGGTAGTAGACCCCTCCCCACTATGGTGCAATTCATAGCATAGCAGGTGACTGCATTTGTCATTTTTGAGGAATTGGAATTTCAGCCACACCCTCTTCTAAGTACCATGAGAACAGCCTACCTAAGATAACTGGCTTACTCCCCTCCCCCCACAAGAAAAGCAGATGCAGTAGCAGTGACACCCACCTGCCTGCATTGACGCCAGATGGGAATTAGCTGAGTAATTGCACAGTATTTGCGTGGAGGGGATTGCAGTCATATGCTTAAACTCGTGCTGTAGCTGCTCCTCTTTACCCCTCCTTTACTGCAATACCTCAGTGGGGAGGGGGAAGGGAAAGGAGACTTGTTTGCGCAGGCGCCTTCACACAGGCCCTTAGGTCCTATCTTTCTTGACCTTTGGTAATGGAAGATGTGTCTGTCGGGGGATAAGGTGGAGTCTTTCCATGACCTTTGGTAATAGAAGATAGAATGGGGGGAGGTGGAATAATATACAGAGGTGAGAGGAGTGTGCTACTTGTTCCTGTTTGACAGAGCAGATGTCTTCCTTGTCTTTGTTTTGTGCTGCAATAGGTGGGTGAGAGTTCATTCAGAACAGTGTAGACATCTCAGGACCAATTAGTGATGCTTAAGACAGCCTTACATACTGGGTAGGGAATTTATATTTATTTTTAATATATGCTTATTTTTTACTTTTTAATAGCTCTACTGTTTCGTGTGCAGTCAGGTTTGTTATTTTTAAGGCAGACTCAATAATTCATTAATTGATTCTCTTCCACATGTATTTTTTTATTGCCATTTTCCAGATTCAATAGTTAACAGTAGTCTTAAAGTTAGTATTATGCCATCCATCTTAATGTTTTGGTATTCTACTCTCTTTCACGGCAATGTTTTTGTTAAAATGGGGGAAAGGAGGAGCGTCATCCCAACAAATATGAAAGACATGCCCATAAATGTACCTACCCACCCTTGTCCTTAGCAGCTAAAATTAGAAATTGTAGCTTTCTAAAGAGAAGACAAAAGTGAGAAAATCAGGAGCATTCATGCTATAAGAATTACTCCCCAAGAATAGTTTTATTGAGGTATTAAGTTAATGATTTTTTGAGACTTTTGAAATTGAAGGTACTCTGAAAATTTAAGAGAATAGTGAACCAAATAACCACATTTTAATATTCCTAGTTAATTCCTTATTAGTATTTTTATTAAACATATTTTAAAAAGCTAATACAAGATTCTGCCATCCATATTAATGTCAGACATTGTATGTATCCAGCTTCATGGGTGCTGTTAATCTATTCCCTGTCTCCTTACTCTAGTCCTTGAGACCACATCTATGGGCTACTATGTGTGCATTCAAGTTGTACTTTCAAACAATTTTCTTTCCAAGCTTTTTTTATGTGCTTAGTTTCTTTTTTAAATCTTGATTTCCTTCACATATATAGGTAGGTAATTTTTAAGTTATCATAGGTTGTAATCTTTAAAAAGGTACATTTAAGAAAATAGGCTACAGTTTTGAACTTTGTCTTTCTGACAGTCTGATAATTTAGCCTAGGTTGACCTTGAACTTGTAATCTTCATGGTTCAACTGCCAGATTTCATTTACATACCTTTAAAATGTTATATGTGATATAATTTACCTAAGTCTTTGAGAGGTGCTGGAAATATATATACTGCTTCAGATATCGTTTGGCTCCCCTTCTTTTTGTGACTTAACAAACTGCTTATTATGGCTACCATGTTGTAATGGCTGAATCAGAGCCCTTTGATTAAACTTTCTCCTTTTTCAAGACCTTTGAACTTTTCATGTCTTTCTTAAGTGCTGATTTATTTGTTTCTGAGATTCATTTTGTTGTTATTCATTTTGTTGTTAAGGCAGGATTTAAATGTAACTCAGGCTGGCCTCAAAGTTCAGTCATACCAGACTTCAGAGTGTTGTGAACATTGCTGTACCAGACACTGATTCTGAAAATGGTGTGTGTCCCTCCTTCCATTTACACGTTAAAATTACACATTAAATTACACAATACACATTAAAATTACACATTCAAATTCAATGACCACATTTTAATTAAAGAAACTTTACTGTTGTTAAAGGTATAACTTGACTTGTTCAAGTTTGACTGTTCAGCAAACCTAAATGTATGTTAAAGTGACTGAATTTAGTCACTGATTCATTCTACTAAATACTCCCATTTACATCTTATTTATTCCTTTTTCTCTACCCAAATGTATGTTCTTTTAAAAAATTCACATTTGCCATATAGTCTTTGATGCTTATCTCCTGTATTTATTACTACACTCAAGTTTCTTGTCTAAATAATTTTAGGAAAATTGGCACTTGAGTTTTTGATTCAGCCATTCGGATAGGTGGAAGATGGAACCTCAGATTTGCATTTTCCTGATAACTAAGGATGTTGAACATTTCTTTAAGTGTTTCTCTAACATTCTGTATTCTATTGAGAATTCTCTGCTTAGCTCTGTACCTTGTTTTTTAATTGGATTATTTGGTTTGTTGATGTCTAATTTCTTGAATTTCTTTATATATTCTGGATATTAGTACTCTATCGGGAATAGGGTTGATGAAGATCCTTTCCAAGTCTGTAGGCTGTCGTTTTGTTCTGATGACAGTGTCCTTTGCTTTAAAGAAGCTTTTCAGTTTCATGTCCCATTTATTGATTGATGCTCTTAGAGTCTGAGCTGTTGGTGTTCTGTTCAGGAAGTTATTTCCTGGGCCAATGAGTTCAAGGCTCTTCCCCAATTTTTCTTCAAACAGATTTAGTGTGTCTGGTTTTATGTTGAGATCTTTGATCCACTTGGACTTTAATTTTGTGCAGCATGATAGATATGGGTGTATTTTCATTTTTCTACAAGTGGACTTCCAGTTAGACCACCATTTGTTGAGGGTGCTATCTTTTTCTATTGTATGGTTTTGGCATCTTTGTCAAAAATCAGGTGTCCATAAGTGTGTGGGTTTATTTCTGGGTCTTCTGTTCGGTTCCATTGATCCACCATTCTGTTTCTATGCCAGTATCATGCAGTTTTTATTACTGTTGCTCTATAGTACAGCTTGAGATCTGGGATGGAGATACCTCCAGAAGATCTTTTATTGTTGCGGATTGTTTTAGATGCTCTGGGTTTCTTGTAATTCCATATGATGTTTAGAATTCTTTCAAGTTCTGTAAAGAATTGTGTTGGTATTTTGATTGGAATTGCATTGAATCTGTAGATTTCTTTTGGTATTGGCCACTTCAGTATATTAGGAAAACTGCTTACCAATTTTAAAAGCAGAATCAAAATGCCAATTTTCTGAATTCTACCTATTTAAATTTTATTTTTTAGTGTTTTTGATTAAGCAGTAACTAAGTTTTATTTTTCATAGTATTTTTCTTATCTATTCTATATACAAGATATAAAAAATGACTTTGTTTTGAGATATGTCTGACACATAAAGTGCCATATATAGAAATACACACACATATATATATGTATATGCATGTATATGTATAGTTATTTGTTTATAAGTAACTAAATTTGAAAATATTGTTTTTGAAGCAGAGTATATATTTATCCATCATTTCCGGAAGCTCCAACTTAATTTTTTTTTTTGCAGGTAATGTTTTTGTGTTGCTTTGAAAATTAGAGTTCAATAAATTATATAATTAACTAATCTTCTCTTTGCATTGGGACTGTCCTATCTACTTCAGGTTGTTTTTAAATCTTCCACAATCCTCTCTTTCTCTGTGTGTGTGTGTGTTTATGGCATGGTAACACGCAATCTTGGTTAAAAGTCAATTCATTTCTTAAGCTTGCTTATAATTCAGGTGTCATTTTAAAGACTGTTGCCTATCCAAGATCATTAATGGTAGCAATTTTCAAATTATATTGTTTCAAATTATATTGGAAAACTTAACTTTAGTTTATTTTCTTCGATTTTTTAACACAATTAAGATACTATGAAAAATAAAACAATTTAGATACTGCCTAATCAAAAACTTTGAAAATAAAATTTAAATAGATAGAATTCAGAGAATTGGCATTTTGATTCTCCTTTCAAGGTTCTTTAATTACCTGTCAAAGGTCTTTCATTTGTCCTTTCTGGATTGATATTTCTAATTTCAGTCTTATGAAGGATTCCTGCAGTTCTTAACATGGCCACGCTGTGGCTGCTGCTGTAATTTCAATTTGACAGATGGCCATTTTGTGATGTGTTCCTCAGATCTTGATTTTGTGCCAGCATTTTCATAGCACTTTGCTTAAGCAACTCTCCTATTTCTTTGTAAATTCTGGAGACAGCTACATTTACATATGGATATTTTTAATTAATAATTTTACAGTTTAATTTTTTATCCTTCATTAGTCTGTTATATAAATGGGTTATAATTTTAAAATGTTTTCCAGATATTTTGGAGCTGGCTTTGCTACATTTGGTGAATAGGGCTAGTGCATATTTTTGTATGTCTGTGTGTGCGTGTGTGTGTTATCTCTATGTTTGAGAATATAGTTGGAGATAAATATATTTTACTTTATTTCCTGATCTTAAAGCCCAGGTTTTCTGATGTAATGTTTTTCTTAGATAATATTTAATCAAAGATCCTAATATTTTAAAATATAAAATATTCTGATTTAATTTTACCTTGTTTTATCACTCTATTGTTTGACACAGGGCCCAGGTGTTAGCACTGACTTCTTGGAACTGACTGGTTTTGAATGTAGAAGGATCTGCTTGCCTTTCCCTCTCAAATACTAGGATTAAAGGCACACTTTGTCATAAATTTAACTTGCTTGAATAAGATCATGAGTATCTTTTAATATCCACTAAGCTAAAGTTAAAGGTTCTAAATGAAGCATTTTTTTTTTCATTCAAACTTTTATTTTGTTATGAGTGTGTGTTTGAGGTAGGGAAGAGGGTCAGCATGCATGCTATGGCAAATATGTGAAAGTCAGCATAATTGTATGGAATATGTTATCTCCACCTTTTTAAAGGTCCAGTGATCAGTCTTGGATTGTCTGGTTTGTACCTTTACCTTTTGTCAATCCTATATAATTGTTTAATGTAAGGACTCATTTAGCCTAGACTTATCCCAAATTTGCTAGATACTGAAGATGTTCTTGAATTTTTACATTATTATTGAGCCCTGTCTTCACCTCCTTAGTGGTAAGATTACAGTATATATGACCAACTCTGGTTTACATAGTTCTGGGAATGGAGCCTAGGACTTTGTTTCCTAGTCAAGAGCTTTGAATATCAGTGCCAATCCTTATAATAAATACATTTAAATATAATTTTGTTTTATAAACCAATGCATTTCCTAAATATTATTTTTTTTCTTATTTTAGGGATCGCTTACACCTGAGAAGAACTACTGAACAGCACGTGCCAGAGGTAGAAGTCCAGGTCAAACGCAGAAGGACAGCTTCACTGAGCAACCAAGAGTATGTAAAGTCTCAGTTAAGAATCAAATCACAGAAAACTAGCATATAAAGAAGAGAGTACAACAACATTAACTGTATATGCATACCTAATATGGAAAATGTAGCAAAATAATGAAATCCTTAAGTGTATTTTCTTAACATAAGTCAACTTTTATTTCATCCATGCCTTGTTTGATTCTACAGAGATACACCTGCCTCCACCTCAGGAATGCTGGAATTAAAGGCATACACCACCACACCTTGCTCTTTAAATGCTATTCAATATAACATGTGATGTTTCTTGACATTTTCAATTATTGGAGTATTGCATCCTTCTTTTTTCCCATTTGTTTGGTGCTATAATTAAACTTACAGCTTAGGTTTAATTTTTACTTTGTACATTCTATACAAATGCTCTATTTTTGCATGTGTAAGGGGATTTTTTTCCCCTTTAGAATTTTATATTCTTCACTATATGAATATAAACTATTTTATGTAATTCATTTTACATTGTTTGCTTTTTTTCGCATTGGTGAGTCATAAATGTACAATTTGCTCTTTCCCTGTAATATTTAAGCTTTATTGTTTTTGTATTAAGATCAATAGCCTCTGCCGATCTAGATGTCATCAGAAAGCAAAGCATGATCTTAGCTCTTTTTTGTTTTTTGATTGTTTGAGACAGTTTCTCTCTGTAGCCTTGGCTGTCCTGGCCTCAAACTCACATATGATCTTAACTCTTGAGCTTTCTCCACATCTCAAGTGCTCGTATTATATTTGTGCAATGTACAATATCTGGCTATATTTAGATTCTTTAATTAGTATATCTTTTGTTTGTTTTGTTGAGACAAGGTTTCTCTGTGTAGCCTTGGCCGTCCAGGACTCACTTTGTAGACCAGGTTGGCCTGGAATTCCCAGAGATCCACCTGCATCTGCCCCCAGAGTTCTGGGATTACAGGTGTGTGCAACCGTGCATGGCTAAGATTTATTATTTATTATTCTACAGTACTCTACCTGTATGTATGCCTACATACCAGAAGAGGGCACCAGATCTCATATAGATGGTTATGAGCCACTATGTTGCTGCTGAGAATTGAACTCAGGATCTTTGGAAGAACAGCCAGTGCTTTGAACCTCAATATTTTATGAATTCTTTGAATATACATGCATACAGGAATCATATTAATGAGTCTTATAGTTGATGTCTTTATTGTCTAAGTGAGCTTCTTTAACGCATTCTGATCATTCATATATAAACTCTCAAATTGAGTCTCAAAATTATTACCAATTCATTCTGCTTTTTTGTAGAAATAATATCTAATTGCTCTCATTACAGGGATTTTTTTGGCATTCATATGTGTGAGGGTGTAAGAGGAAAGATGAGAGTTTGGTTTTCAACCATATACCTTTGTTATCTTTTCAAATTGCTTCATCTACATATTGACTTTATTTTATAGTATACATATTATGAGTGCTATAACAACAGTTATTTCATATTTATATTACACTATTTAATAATTGTTTTCTTACATTCAGGGTCAGTCACTGCAAATATGATTTATTATTTGTTTTACATCCTTTATGCTACAGGAACTTTTCAAAATTGTAGACAATAGACAACATTTTGTGTCTTAATTTTTATTTCTTCATTGTATATTTAAATGGTGTAGAGGAATTTTAATCCAGCAGTATGGCCACTCTGATAAGGGGTCACATCCAAAGACCTTGTAGGTCTATATGATCTGGCTGAATGCAGACACCTGGATTACAGGATGATCTGGCTGGATTACAGACATGCCCTTAGTATGTGATAAACCTTATTGAATGGTGAATATGAGCTAATGGAAGACAAGTTACAGTTTATAAATTCAGGTTTATTGGGAGGAGCCCTCAGCTACCATGCAGGGGGAGGAGCAGAGAGATAAAGGCATACTCAGAGAGAGTAGAGGGAATGTGGACAAGGAGAGAGAAGAAACACAGAAACATGGAAGAGAGGGAGGATGAGAAGAGAGAGAAGAACCAAAATGTCTGGATTATATAGTGAAGGGGGAGGGAAAGCCCCTGCGCCTGGTTGGAAAGTTGAGAGTAGATGGCAGGGTATGTCAGCCATGACTTTTTCAGCATGTAGAGACAGAGGGATGCTGGAAGAACCTCAATGCATGTCCATCTTGGTTGAAAAGGCACCTCAGCTGCTTATCTGAGTATGAAGCTCAATATGTACCTTTAATCCAAAACAATGAAGGAAAGTTTAGTTTATAGAAGTTTAGAAGAAGGCAAGGTTAGTTTGTAGAAGTTAGTTTATGGCAACCCTGTTTGAAAGTGATGTAATTGAGGGGCAGACAAAATGATTAGTCAGAGAATGATTTCACAGTATGAGTTAGAGATAGGATGCATCCAACTCCCAGGAGAATAGGACAGGAAGAAGAAGATACTTAAGAGCAGCACAAGGGAGAATGAGGTGTTTTTTTTTTTTTTTTTACGAGAGTTTCTTAAATGGACAGTTTTACAGAGATAGGTTGGAGAGAGAACAGGCTACACAGAGATGAAGAAAGAATGAGCCAGATAATGAGGAGACAGAAGATTTAAACATTGTCATAATTAGTTTGAGCAAGTCAGTCAGAAGCCAATTTGAATCAGTCAACTTGGAAAGAAGTTTAGGCCAGAACAACTTAATTGAACGAGCCAGCGAGAGTTCAGAAAGAGCTAAAAAGGGTAGGATTGGCTCTCATCTCATCCCCTAATTTGATGAAATAAAAACATTACAAAATGGTAAAGGCTTACAGGGTAAACAACTGGTGGGAGCCAAAACACTCCTAGCCAGGTAATAATGGCATTTGCCTTGAATCCCAGAGGCAAGAGGATCTCTGAATTTGAGTCTAGCCTGATCTACATAGTGAGTTCCAGAACAACCATCTAATGAGACTCTGTCTTGAAAAAAGAATAATAATAAAAAAGAAAAAAGTCATCTTAATCATGCTTTTAAATTAAATTTTTTACTTTATTGATTGCTTTGGAAGTATTTTATAAACATTAATACTTATTTTTGCAAATATTTTACTGTCTTTAGTATAATCAACTATTTCAGTGCAGTGTGGCACCTTTAATATAGACTATTATATATTCAAAGATTTTTGAAGTGATTATATTCCAGAGGTATTTTAGGACTTAGATGAGATTATAGAGAAAGGATCCCGCTCCCCTTTTTTAAAATTGGTTTTGAGGAGCTTGGTATTAGCCTAGTATTCACAGCGTAGCTAAGATGGGTCTTGAACTGGACATCATAGCAATCCTGCCTTATATTCTTCAGTATTATAGGTTGTGTTACCACAACACACATCTTTTGGTTTTTGTTTATTTTTCCCTCTGATTTTGTTCCTTGTTTCACGGAGGTTTCATCACATAGCCCTGGCTGCTTAAAATTCACTCTGTGTACCAGATTGGCATTATACTGTGTCAATCTTATCTCTGCCTCTTGACTTCTTGCATTGTAGGTTTGAGACATTGTACCTCAATAGCTGTGGTGTTTTGCTAGAATGTTTTATTTTTACAACAATAACATAGATGACTCAAAAATCTCATTTTAATTTGTTGGGATGAACTTGCCTTTTTTCAGGTATCAAATATATAGGCACCTTTTTAACAAGGTATATATATGTGTATGCCCATACCACATATGTACCTGTTACCCACCAAGACCAGAACAGGTCATTCAAATCCCCTGGGACTAGAATTGACAGAAGGTTTTGATCCACTATGTGGATGTTAGGAACTGAACACTTGTCCTAAGAGCAACAAATGTTCTGAACTGCTGAACCATCTCTGCAGTCTCCCTTATTTTTTAGGTGGTGGGGTTTGAGACAGGGTTTCTCAAAATCCTGTTTCCTGGCTGTCCTGGACTCATTTTGTAGACAAGGCTGGTTTCAAACTCAGAGATCCACTTGCCTCTGCCTCTGCCTCCTGAGTTCTGGGATTAAAGACGTGGACAATCACACCCGACCTTTTTTCTTTTTTAAATATGTTATAACAGGTTGTTGCTGTGGCAGAAGCAGGCCTTGAACTGGTTCTATTGTTTCTACTTTCTAGGTGCTAGGATCAATAATTTGTGCCATTTTGATGCCTGCTCATTTTAATGATTTTTTTTTTTTGAGAAAAGGTCTTACTCATTTTTTCTAGTTCTCTCTCTTTCTTTCATAGAAACTGTTATTTCTATGTAGCCCTGACTGTCCTGGAACTATTTCTGTAGACCAGTTTGGCCTGTTCTCTCTCACAGAGATCTGCCTGGCCTCTGCTTCCCAAATTCTGTGATTAATGGCATGTGCCACCAACCACCAGGAGATAAGGGTCTCATTTTACAGTTTAATAGTGTTTATAACTTGGTACATACATTCAAAATGAGCTTGTGTCTATCCCCTTGTCTGTTCTTCCTGCATGCTGAAATTACAGCCATATGTGAAAAAACTTAGGATTTTGATTTTGAAGAAGAAAAATTATTTTTCTCAGATCTCTTAATATGTATAAATACTGTTGGGAAAAGAAAAGTGAGTTGGGGAAATGGCATAATTTTCCCATTTCTCTCTTTTCATATTGAGGATAAGTAAGTGCCTTGAGAGGATAAATAGGAATGGCCTCATTAATGCAAATCTCTTGCCTATCACAGAGTTGAAATTATTTTCATTTAATGTGATTGAAATATGAATATGTATTATTGATAGTTTCCATATGAGTACTCTTAAGTTTTTTTTGTTCTTAGGATACACCCTATACTACTAGAATAAATATCTGGTAGTTGTTTATCCATTTGTGTGGGCAGAAATTCCTGATTATACACTACATAACTCATTGTATAATGTACCTAAAAGACAATATTTTAAAGTATGTTAGCCTTTTCCTGGTGACCCCTTTTTAAAGGAGTATAAAAAGTATGTTTTCATTATTACTGATGTCTACATAGATTTCTTTTTGCCATTTAAAATTTTTGTGCTTTTGTTATAGGTGTCACTTGTACCCACGGCATTTGCAGCAGCAGCAGCAAGTTCCTGTGGTGGATTTCCAGGCAGAACTGAGACAGGCATTCTTAGCTGAGACACCAAGAGGTGGTTAAAGCAGCACTGGAACATCAAGGGTGGTGGAAGTCAAGGAAAAGAGGTTAGAGTTAATTTAAAAACTCAGAGAAGTAAAAAGAAAGAAGAGCTTATATAGGATTTAACTGATAAAATTACTTCTTCATAAAAGATTTGTGTATCCCAGCACAAGATGCACAGAAATTTCATACAATACACATGTTGAATAACATTGAAAACAGTATAATTGTGATTTTAAATATTTCCCTGATGTTTCCTTATTCTACTTTGGAATGCATTAAAAAATTCAAAATAAAATTTTGGTTTTAAATTAAAACAAATTAAAAAATTTATTGAATTTTCAACTTTGCAAGAAACATACTTCATTTATTATTTAATATCATATAATTCCCTCTTTCCATTTAATATTTAACGAAGTATTGTATTAGCTTTTGTTACCTTCAGGAAATAGTGTTCTGTTTTTGAATATATTGAATTGGTTATTTTAATTATGAATCTGCAAATGTCCTTGTATGGTTGAACATCTTTTGGATATATGCCCATGAGTGGTATAGGTGGATCGCCCTAATTTTCTGAGAAAGCGCCAGATTGATTTAGGAAGTAGTTGTACAAGTTTACATTCCCACCAACAATGTAGGAGGGTTCTCCTTTTTTTTTATATCCTCTCTATTATTTATTGTCACTTGAGATTTTGATCTTAACCGTTCTGATGGGTGTAAGGTGTAATCTCAGGGTTGTTTTGATTTGCCACTCCCTGATGACTAAGGAGCATTTCTCTGCCATTTCATATTCCTCTGTTGAGAATTCTGTTTAGCTTCTTGGCCAGGTTTGAGTACCAGGCATGCCTTCCCTCCTTTGGAGTGAGTTTTAGCTTCAATTATCTATCTATCTATCTATCTATCTATCTATCTATCTATCTATCTATCTATCTATCTATCTATC